CCCGTGTTGAGATTGCGCTGGAACCCCCATTCCCTATACTACTCATCCAGTAACAATCACTTGTCAATCTATTGCAAAAGGCCTATTACCGCTGTGTTTCTTGATTACAGACCCATTTACTCAGGGCTAGCCTCGATTTTGTGCAGAATATTTACGTGTTCCAGTCAAGGTCCGTCGAATTTCACAATGTTTGTATTGTTGAAGTTGTGCATTCTTTACTTTGCCGTTGGTATTTGTGAATATTTAGACACTGATACGAGGCTAACCCTGTGTAAATGAGTCTGCAATCAAGGAACACAGCGGTAATTTGGAACCCGAAAATGGTCTATTAGAAAATTTGCAAAATTAAATGATTTCCCCCCACGATTTCTCGCAGAGCCCAGTCCGGAGAGTGAGGCAATTTCTTCCCCCGGATGGACATACTCCATGCAAGGTTTGTGGTCAAAACGTTTACAAATATTAAATATTTATACAGTGTTCTGACCAGGAATTTCTTTCAGGGGGTCAAAGGGCCCATCAATCCGAAATTTAGGGGCCATTTAGAAAACTGGATGGGCCATTTACAAAATCTTAAAACAAAGAATAATGATGTTTTTAGCCAGCAACTCTGTTGCAAATCTACAACAATGTAAGACAGTTTTTTATTAGTAATGATAGTACAATAAACTTGCGCTTGGAAGCCATACTTGAGCCTCCAATAAACAAACAAGGTCAGTAAACAAGTCCCAGACCTCTTGGCGAGTGAAATACAAGATGGTGGCTATGTTCGATTCATGTCGTTTCATGTGGACTTTCACCTTGTTTATTGACAATATAATGCGACTTTTATTATTTCAAAAGTACTCTAAATCTTTTAAAATTATCAGGAAGTATTCTTTGGATAATTCATGCGCCTTTGGGGGCGCATAGAGTTGACATTTTTGCGCCATTACTGTTTTTTATGCGCGATTCCCGCAATGGCGCGGCCTGGTAAGAACACTGTTAAATTATATGCTTTATAATAGTTTCGTGGATGAAGAAAGACCGAGTGAAGAAGCCATTATATTTTCTTTTCTTTGATTCCTGTTTCTGGTGCCATGACTAAACTTTTGTTCAAGTTTGGTTTTGCTCAGTGTTTTTAAGGGAATCCCAAATAATGGTGGTAATTCCAGAATCCATATTTCATTTTTAAAACTATGGACTCTAATTTCTACTGTAGATTCTGTACTTGACAATTTTTTGTTACTGTATTCTGCAGATCTGACCAAGGTGGACCTGTATGATACAAATGGCTCACTCCTGTTTACCGTCAGAGAAAAATCATCATGTACTTTTGGTAATCTGGCTGAAAACCTTCACACCAAGGTAATTTTGTTATCTATTTAAAGATGATATAGCTTGATGAGGGGAGCATGTGTGACCTGCAGTGCTATTGTGCGCTGTCTCTAACCGCTGTGTAGTTCATGCATGTGTGAGTTGAGTTTGTTTCATGTGTTCTCGCACTTGCAACGAGGGTTTTTCTTTGGGCTTTTCTTCGGGTTCTCTGGTTTGGTTTTCCTCCTCCTGTAAAGATCAGCATGTGAGTGTTGAGTGCAGCAAACAGTGAATGTAGTGGTAGTGGGTGTTAAAAAAGGAGGTCACTCCCTTACATCTATAATTACTTCGCTACCATACCATACCATATCATTTCATCCGGCTATCTTATTGATTGTTATGTTTTGCTATTAAAGATCAGAGAGAAGAACCAGTCCTTGCAGTGCTTTACGTTCAAGGAGACTAACACTGCTTCCTTGGATCCAAACCAAGAGCTTGGCTTCCAATATCACCGGATAGTCGTCCTGCCAGCAACAGACGGTGATCAGTGGGGAGACTGGAGAATTGACGACAAAGGGATTGTTGAACTAAGACAACTCTAAATTTGATGACGTCTAGCCAATCAATCAGCATCAATCAATAGACCTTTATCGAGTTCCAAACAGAAGACAGAGTCTTGAATCAGTGTCTAAATATTCACAAATATCAACAGTAAAGTAAAGAATGCACAATCTATGGACTTTCACTGGAACACATGAATATTCTACACAAAATCGAGGCTAACGCTGAGAAAACAGAGAACTCGATACTGGAGTATTGGTCAGACAGTCAAACGGTCAATTAGTTAATCAATGGGTCAATTACTGAATAAATCAAGTAGATTAGTTTATTTTGACGTTATTTGTAAGATAATTTCTCACCGGTACACTTGAACCACTTGGTATTTCACATCTCAATTTGATTTGTTTTCTTCACACCGACGGAGTTCATATTACTACAATCTTTGTTAAAAATCGGAGCACTAAAAATACCGATCACTTGTCTCGCAAAATCCTATTCGATCATTGAGTCTTTCGTGTTGTGATTTAGATCAGCACTGTTCATTAAGGTCGAAGAATTATATCAGATCACATGCACTCGCCTTTCTCCCCCTCCCCCCCAGTCCACTCCCTGATTATTGATGTCGGATAGAAATATGTCTCCTCTAAAAGGATTTGATCTGTCAGGGCACAACATATTGAGATCTTTTGACAAGGATTGTAGTTTTCTTCTTAGTATTTTTACTGATTATTTTAATATTTTAATAGTTTTTTTATTATTATCCTTGGGGTGTAACCGCATGACTCAAAATCTCTTGAGATATAAAATGTACATTTTTCCAGTAAAAAATTGTAGGTTTACTAGCTCTTGTGAAGAGCTTTGTAAAATTTCAAAAAAACAAAAAACAAAAACAACAACAACAAAAAACAAGAAAAAAAGAAAAAAAAAATTGTAAAATTTTCTCAAAAAAATTTGTAGGTTAACATCATAGAAAAATAAAACATGAACTGCGTCTATATTGTTGTATCGTATTGTTGTTTTCAGATGGCGTCATTCCCTAGAGTATTATTTCTTTGTTTGCCGGTTGTGCAGGAGAAGAAACATGAAATAATCTTCTTAAACCTGAAAACAGCGTTGCCAGTTCCATATATTTTTTTCACACTGTTCGTTGTCTTGTATTGTTTGTTTGTTTGGTTTTTGTTTTTGCTGGACTTGCCCTTAAAGTCCGTTCACTATAAGTTAAGTGTGACGTAATTCGAACGAAAGACGACTTTCGAGTCCAAATTAATAATTCTACTGAAATTATTCTGTGTTTTTTATTCATTGCAAGATTTTCTGTTCATGTATCTTATTGTTACAGGGAGGGGAGCGCTCCCCACTAGATGAGCTGAAATTTACTGCGATATTGGTGTATGAGTTTGTAGGCAAAGTGTGCACCACCACCTAAAACGAAAATCCTGGATGGTGCACCCCCCCCCCCCCCCCC